CAAAGCAGCTGTCGGTACAATGCAGCAAGGGGGCAGCGAATGTTTTACTGATGAGGAAACACAAAGTTAAACTGGCTGAGTAACAGGCCACAGAACAGTCGTAACCAGACATGGGTGGTGGAGGTAGAAATGTGGTTTAGCTTGCAGGCAAGAGGATTGGCTAGTGGGTCGAGATGGGGATGGAAGGCAGGACTCCTGGGTTCTGTTCCCATAGGTTAGTGACTTGACTGTGCGATTCAGTTCGCCTCTAGAAACATACACGGGTCAACTGAGGTTCAGCTGGTGTCTGCAAAGCACTCTCGGGTTCCTGGTTGGAAGGCGTGGAGGGAATAACTAAAGGGAAGCAACAAATCAAGCACCATAGACCGCAGGCCTTGATTTGGCGCATGCTGGCAACATGCAGGGAGATGGGAAGTGCACAGAGGCCAGTCAACGCCCAAAGGTGGGGCGGGGGTAGGGGAGAAAAGGGACAAGCACTGACAAGCGGCTTCTGCACGTGACGAACATAAGGAGAGGGCGGGGGAGAAACGTGCAAGGGAATTCGGCCCTAGAGGGCCAAACACTGAATCAGGCCACTAGGGCAGGAGAGAAATTGAAGATCTGGTGGGTGACCAGCAGCGGTGAGGAACACGCAGTATAAGGAGCAGGAGTCAGGAGAGACCCTTATGGCCCTGCTGTGGCCAGCAAATCCACTCCTGAGTACTGGGCACGATGCCAGGCAGCCTGTAACATGTGTGAGAAAAGAATCAGGGAAGAGGCAGAAGAGACAGCAAGGAAGGACCCGCATTGCGTTAGCCAACTCCATGGGCCTGCTAGTTGATCTTTCTCACCTCTAGGAATCCCAGTGTCATGGAACCTAGAGGTGAGAAAGATCAACTAGCAGGCCCATGGAGTTGGCTAACGCAATGCGGGTCCTTCCTTGCTGTCTCTTCTGCCTCTTCCCTGATTCTTTTCTCACACATGTTACAGGCTGCCTGGCATCGTGCCCAGTACTCAGGAGTGGATTTGCTGGCCACAGCAGGGCCATAAGGGTCTCTCCTGACTCCTGCTCCTTATACTGCGTGTTCCTCACCGCTGCTGGTCACCCACCAGATCTTCAATTTCTCTCCTGCCCTAGTGGCCTGATTCAGTGTTTGGCCCTCTAGGGCCGAATTCCCTTGCACGTTTCTCCCCCGCCCTCTCCTTATGTTCGTCACGTGCAGAAGCCGCTTGTCCGTGCTTGTCCCTTTTCTCCCCTACCCCCGCCCCACCTTTGGGCGTTGACTGGCCTCTGTGCACTTCCCATCTCCCTGCATGTTGCCAGCATGCGCCAAATCAAGGCCTGCGGTCTATGGTGCTTGATTTGTTGCTTCCCTTTAGTTATTCCCTCCACGCCTTCCAACCAGGAACCCGAGAGTGCTTTGCAGACACCAGCTGAACCTCAGTTGACCCGTGTATGTTTCTAGAGGCGAACTGAATCGCACAGTCAAGTCACTAACCTATGGGAACAGAACCCAGGAGTCCTGCCTTCCATCCCCATCTCGACCCACTAGCCAATCCTCTTGCCTGCAAGCTAAACCACATTTCTACCTCCACCATCCATGTCTGGTTACGGCTGTTCTGTGGCCTGTTACCCAGGCAGTTTAACTTTGTGTTTCATCTTCAGTAAAACGTTCGCTGCCCCCTTGCTGCATTGTACCGACAGTTGCTTTGATAGTTCAAGGCAACTGTTTGAGTCTTTAGTGTACCTTGAATTTCAGTTTCCCTAACTTTGACCCTTACAGCCATGTGCTGTCTTCAACTCCAGGTCCAATCAGTTTCCTTTCTTGTCTTCCCTCCCGTCCGTTCTAGCCTGGGGTTTGCTCTATACAATCACGCAGTGCAGGAAAGAGTCTATGTGCAGACTGGCAGTCGTGGGGGAAGAAACCGTCTATCAAGCTGGAAAACAATAATCCGGCTGCAAACGTGGCATGTGCAGCTTGTTTGGTCTCTTCTAGTCTGTGGACTCTAGCGTCAGGAGGAGAAGAATGCAAAGAATGCCCTGGATTTTCCTGGCTTTCCTGCTAACTCTTCGTCATTGATCCCTCCGGGGAGGAAGCAGTGAGAAATTCGTTGCTTTACGGCTCATGCCTCCACGTTGAAAAGCCAAGCAGGCTAGTGGCTGTGTTGCTTGAGAATCCCTTTTCAGCTGGTCTCTCTAACCCCCTGCTTTCTTCCATGTCTGTCTCGTCCTCTAAGCAATCTATGACCAAAGACTTTGAATCTCACGGGGGCCCAATCCTTGCCCTTGCCAGATACACTCCAGTCCTGTCGATTTCACTGGGAATAAAGGATTGCTTGGCACTTCCCAGGATCAGGTCCCACGTCTGCAGGGAGCGTAACTTCTACTCTGCGCTCATGGCAGGCTACGTTCCCCTGGTGGTTGGGGTTCAGGGCTGGGATGCTGCCAGGCTGTATCCTGGGTGCGGTCGGATGTGACAGCAGCTACACCTAGAAATCTCTCGAACGTTCTCTTCACCCAGCTTAAGGATTTGGGCTCCAGACTGTAAAATGAAAGAGCAGGAAAATGCCTAGTGGAGAATATTGTTGTTGTCTCTTCCTCCGCAGAGGCAATGTTTGATGCACTTATCCCATTCCGATTGTATTCCCCTTTTCTCCTGTGCCATAGCTCCAAAGGCCATGGATTCGAAAGGCAGCCCCGTGCCTGCGTAAGGTGCAGCATTGAGGGCTGTCAGGTAACTCTTGAACCCACCTC